CTATCTTTTCGGAATCCCAGTATTCTTTTCATTAACATATAATTCCGATTTCCAAAAATAAATAGCAATGACATATCACATAAGAACTCATAAGTTATCAGCACTGTCATCACTAAGGGGTTCTTCATTTGAATCATTATTATGGTGAACTGCTCTCTCCCCTTCCTCCTCTCCTATAGAGTCCAATGTCGGGCATTTACTTCAAGATTTATGTAAGTTTTAATACGTATAGCGTGAGGCGTAAGCCTCATGCTAGTGAGGCGAGGCGGGCCTCAATGCGGACCTCAACCAAGTTGAGGCGCAAGCCTCATAAAAAAAACTCGAGGCGTAAGCATCGAGGCATTTTTTACTTGACTTGCAGAAAGGCGGGCCTCAAGGCGAGCCTCATATTGCGCAATTTTAAACCATGGTTGTAGTTTTCCTTGATAAAAGTCGAAGTTTTTATACATATAAATTAAATCTTTACCCTGTTGTGGAGTAATTTTATTTTTCTTCATTGATTGGATAAAATAATGTGCTTCAATTTCTTTCACAATAAGATGAGGATGAAACTTGGCCAAGTAATTTCATGGTGATTATTTGAAGTAGATGTGCTGAAGCTCCATGTATCAACCACCACATTTTCAGATCAATTCTTCACCTATCACGCAAGGATTTTTGGTCACTAAAGTCCTCCAAATAATAAAAAAAAGGGAGATTTACATACATACCACTTAATACTATGCTATTTACATATTTAACACCTAAAACTCTAATATTACATACATACCACCCATAGTTCATTTTCATACCAAATATGAGTGGTAGAAATGAAATATATAAGTGGTAGGAAAGAAATTTAAGTGGTATATTTGATATTAAAATAATATAGGGTGGTATTCATGTAATATTAAAGTTTTAGGTGTTAGATATGTAAATGGGATGTTATAAAGTGGTATGTATGTAAATTTCCCTAAAAAAAATTAGCAAGCTCTATATTGATACTTCTCTTCTCATTTGAAAAATAACGCTTCAAACATGTTTCCTCATATTTGAAATTTCTAAATCTTTATATGGAGAAACTCGTTTAGAATCCTCTTGAAGTCATTCTTTATTTGAATATCTTCATATAATATTTAAATAAAATATTATTAGATAATTACTAAACAACAAATTGTGAATTAATAATAAAAATTGTTGAAATTTACTTGGGATTTAGTGAGTGTGCCAAGCAATGTAAAGGTGTATGACTTTTGCCCCATCTATATTCTAGAATAACATCAAAAAAACTTGAGTTTTCCTGAAGTGCATTTCTCTCATGTCTATATATAATTTCTTTTACCTTAGCTAGCATTGAATCTTATATATGATAAATAAGATGTAAACAAGACTTATCAGTATCAATGACTGTCAATATATCATAAATTTGATCAGTGAAATTTAAGATGTATTCAATATCATCCCACTATAAATTATCAAAAAATTTCTTTTAAATACATTGTCTTTCCAACATCATCTTTCTGATAACAAGACCATTTATCACTGATCACCATACCTTCAAGGGCATTTTTTTATTTTTTTTAATCTTCTCAACATCATTATAACTGAAGCAAGGATAAAGTAATTCTAAAGAAATGTCTTACAAAGGAACTTGAAATCAAAGATTGTGATTGACTAAATTTTTTTTCTTGGAATTGAAGTGGCCCACTCTAGCAAAGGAATTTATATTTCACAACAAAAATACATTAATGATCTTCTTAAGGAAACATATAAAGGAACTTGAAATCAAAAATTGTGATTGATTAAATTTTTTTCTTGGAATTGAAGTGTCCCACTCTAGCAAAGAATCTATATTTCGCAATAAAAAATACATTAATGATCTTCTTAAGGAAACGTATAAACTAGTTTGTAAACCGACAACCCCAGTAGAACCAAATCTCAAATTGGGGAAAGTTGAAGAAGATCCAAAAATACATTAATGTAAACCGACAACAACCCCAATGACAAGGAGAACTTTAACAAAGGGTAGGCTAACCGCAGATTAACCTAACAACAACTCATGATAGTCATTTTCTTTTCAGGTAATGAAGCATTCCTTCAGTCTGGTAAGCCTTGTGGAGGGCAGGTATTGCGCTCTATGCGATTGTCATCTAAGTAACTAGCTCAACTGCTCGTGTTTACAAAGCACATGGGAAAGCAGGCACGGAGTCCTCTTCCGCTGGTCGAGTAGACTGTCAGGTGGATGGGTAAGAGCGATAGGGTTAGACATTAGCCAGCCTGTCTATCTATGTCATACTTGGGATTCACTGACAACCAATTCAAAGTAGATCCTCTCTCCACTTCTTTCTTTCTATCTGTTATTCTATTGGTTGTGTGCGCGTTATCCCTGTGACATTGATAAGATTGGAGTTCATGTAGTTGGAATGCCTGAGACCCCTTTTTGCCTTGCTTCTCTGGCTATTGCTCCGGCTAAGGTTTCCGCTTTGACTCGCCTTCCTTATATTTCATATCTTCTCTTTCAATCTGGACTTGAATGTCTTCCGCATATGAAAGTCTTATTGTGTTTTGATTAAAAGTTTTCTTGGAATTGATTAAAGATTTTTCTTGGAATTGAAGTGGCCCACTCTAGCAAAGGAATCTATATTTCACAACAAAAATACATTAATGATCTTCTTAAGGAAACATATAAACTAGCTTGTAAACCGAAAACAGTAGAACCAAATCTCAAATTGGGGGAAGGTAAAGAAGATCCAAATGTAGATAAAGGAGCTTACCAGAGACTTGTGAGAAAATTGATCTACCTTTCCCACACCAGCCAGATATAGCATTTGGTGTAAGCATGGTCAACCAGTTCATGCAAAATTGAAAGTCGACTCACATGCAACATGTAAACATAATACTGCACTATTTTAAGGGAAACTTAGATAAAGGGATTCTCTTTAGAAGAGATTGTGGAATAATCACAGAAGCATATACTAATGCAGATTATGCAGGATCTAGGATTACTAATAGATAGATGATCAACCTCAGGATACTGCACATTCCTTGGAAGAAACCTTGTTACATGGAGAAGAAAGAAATAAAATGTCGTGACAAGATATAGTGCAAAAGCAGAATATAGAGCTATGGTCTTAGGAATATGTGAGCTACTGTGGATCAAGATAATTCTAGAAGACCTAAGGATCAAGTGGGACACATGAAGTTACAGTGTGACAACAAATCAACAATCAACATATCTCATAATTTGGTTCAACTTGATCGGACCAAGAACATAGAAGTGGATAGACATTTCATAAAGGAGAAATTAGACAGTGGTCTTATATGTATTTATCATGTCTCATCAAAAGACCAGCTTGCAGATATTCTTACTAAGAGACTCAATAACTCTACATTTCTAGGACTGATTACCAAGTTAGGAATGACGGATTTGTATTCTCCAGTTTGAGGGCGAGTGTTAAATCCTAGTTTTCCCCTGGCATTTTGATCCCATGTCTATGATGGGAATCCATGGGAGGCTCACCTATTAAATCCTAGGCATCCCTTGGCTTTTTGATCCCACGACTAAGATGAGAATTCATGGGTGGCTCACTTGGATCACGCTGATCTCCTTCCATATTTAGATGGCTGATTTAGGAAGGATTATATTAGAGCAATTATGCATTATTTTGTAATTATTTGTTTCTTTATTAACATATCTTGTATAGAATTATAAATAGTGGCAAATTTGTGCAATAAAATTAAGCCTTTTCGCTCTCCAATTCTCTGAATGTAACACTATTTCATCTTTATGAGTATAGTTGCTTCTTTATTTCCTATCTACGTTTGGGACTACCACAATTCTCATTTGTGTAATCCTCTCTGGGATTGTTGTCGCCTCCCATGAGAATTCTAATTTTCTTATTTGTATTCGATTTTGCTTATCTCGTCATTCTTTCTATTACTATCTCTTGCGAAAATTTTGAATTTTAGGTTTATCTCTGTGAACCGAGCAACCTTGGGAACCATATGAAGCATTCGAAGTTTATAAATAAATTTGCAAGGTTTGCAAGTTTTCAAATTTTTATTAAATAATTTTTTTTTCTTGTTTTCAAAATTATGTGTTTGTTGAATGTTGTAATTTTTTACTGAGTGCGGTATAACTGCGACTGTTTAGTTCTTTGGGATGTTATTTTCTTGTATTGGTGTAAGGCCTGAATTTTCTTCTATTTTGTTGAACTATTTCTATTATCTATTATTTTTAGATGTCTTATGATTGAATTGCCAGAGTTTTTTTTTATTCTGTTTAAGTTTGATAGAACTGGAGTTTTACTTGTGGAAAAATTTCAGTTGCTCATTGATTTTGTGTGGATTCATATTTTTCATATTTATGCGGGCATTTGTTGTTCATTTTTTTCATTTTATACGAGCATTATTTTTTGAGATTTAGCTCTTGTATTTCTAGTTCGCACTTAAAAGAAAGTAAGTGTTACATATTTAGTGGTCTTTGATAATAATAAAAAAAAAAACTTAGTGGTCTTTGATATATGAATCCTAATTTCCTATATGTGATCTGTTTTAAATGCGTCATTTTATTTGCATTAGGAAATCTAAACCTCAAACCATCCTATATCAGCTTATTGAACATGTTTAGTTTTGTTTTTCTTTTATATTCTTTACATGTTGTCCATATATACATTTGATTGCTGTTTTGCATGCTTCGTCTCTGTTAATCTTGGACATTGTTTATCTCACACCACTCATGTATGTCATTGTTTATCTTGGACTTGTGACCTGAACTAGAAAAGTTTCATCACCGCAAAATGGTACACGTGTATTTTTAATCAAACATCCTATGCATCCGATGGATCCTTGTATAATAATAGGTCTTTTGGGATAGCTTTCTTGGTGCCCAAATTTACTATAATTTTAGTTGTATAGACTATCTTAGTTTTATTGTAAATGCGTAGGCAGATTCATTTTATTTTGTTCTTCAAAACCTAGCTCTTCTACAGTAATTTTGAGTTTTAAATATTATATTGCAGTGCCCAGCTACACGCTTGAGGAAGATATTCCTACGGATTATTTGATCTCTTCGTCTCTGCCTGATGAAAATAATACGCTTGACAATTTCGGTGTTTCTGGAGAGCCAAATCAGGCCCCAGATCCTGAAGAAATAGTTGATGAAACTCCTGCAGAACTGCCTACTAGTTCATTCTCAAGTGTGCCAAAAGCTGCACAGGACCCACCTGCTCCTGTACAGGAGCCTGTTGGGGAGCCACCAAAGCATACGTATGCATCCATTGTATGTACAAGAAATTCTCCTATAAATTTCATTTTTGTATACTTTGCATCAAATCAAACTTTTTTTTTTCTCTTCAATCAAATACTCAATGTTGTAATGGAGTTAAATTCAACAGTTGCGAACTTCAAAAGCTCAAGCTGCACCACATTTAACTTCTATGAACAAGACGGGTCCTGTTATGGCAGAGTGGCATCATGCACCACAGGCAACTCAGCAACAGGTTCAACCCATTGTCCCTTATGTGCCAGATAAGTCCAGCTCTGAGGCGATGGATGAAGTATCTACTTTCGAAGATGAAGGTTAGACTTCTTAGAACTTTTGTTTAACTTTTTTATTTCTTTTTTTGTTGTTGATGTTGTTGTTTGCAGTTCTTTCAGTTCTTTTTATGCGGCTTATCTATCTGATAGCCTTGCTTTGCAGCATGACTGAGTACTAAATGCCTATTATCTGTTTATGCATATTTTATGCTTTCAAAATTTGTCGTCTAGAAATTACTGTGCATGAAATGTATATATATATATATATACATACATACATACACACTTTTTTTTTTCATAATTTTCTTGTTGTTTATTGTATTGCTTCGGATAACCTAGAGCTAGCTATGAACTATGGTTCTGTTTAGTATGTGTTTATACTCACATTAAGAAAAATGAGTTTTAGTTGTTTATTTGAAGTGCCGCATGTGTGTTATACGAGAAAAATGACTCACATTGTTCAATGTTTCAACTGAGATTAAATCGAGGGGTGAATCGTGACAGTTTAATAAATATTGAAATTATTTAATAATCGTTTAAATGGTGTAATATTTCTAATAGTGATGCAATTAAGTGATAAAAAGAAATAAAATCATGCAATATAAAACATAACAGAAAATAAGTTGAATTAATTAATGTAGTGAACTAATTTTCATTACAATTTCTATATTTCTATTATAGTTAGATCACCGATAAACTAATAAATTTTAATAAAATAAAAGTTTGGTACCATCAAAATGTATAATAAATAATATGAACTTCTCTTTTTGCTCTTAAGTATTAGTTGATCCTCAGCATCAATGTGTGGATACACAATCCCAGGGTGAGTGCTGTACAATTTTTTTGAAGATTTTGAACCATCTGATGAGCACCCTAGTCTTTAAAACCAAATACTAGTTCAACGCTTTGTTGTTAAATTTCTAGTCTTTCAAATTTTCTTCAGTTTTAAGGCAATCTAATATTTATTGGTGTGATATGACCGCCTAGAGGATTTGTTCATTGTTCAGTCAGTTTGATTGGTCAACCTAGTTCAATTTGTTAGAAATCAGGAAGTACCAAGAGAGAGAACCTAATTAGTAAAGTGTGAGGAGACAGTAATAGGGATGAATCCTATCAAATTTATTTTATTTAGTGATTCAATCCAATTAGACAGGGCATGAAACTCCTGTCCCTTGTAACGGCTAGATGATAAGACCAGGCCAATTATAATCCAAATTTTTTTATTTAGTTAAATTTTAAAAATTTCTGTCATATAATTTAAAGAAAAATTACAACAATTAAACAAAATAAAGGTGCAATGAATTTTAAGACATTAAACCAAAAAAAAAAAAGGTGAAATGAATTTTAAAATATTTCCATATATTTGAAAATTTTAGAAATAATCTAGAATTGCTTTTGTTGTTGATGTTTTGTGCTGATCAATATACATAAAATTTTCATTTATAGGATAGTACACCCATCCTCTCCTGTGATTGAGGGGGTCCCATCCAATGTTTAAAATTGCGTATTCGGGTATTGAGGCGTTTTTCATTCGTGAGGCGAGGCGTAAGCCGCAAGGCGTTTTGAGGCGTAAGCCTCAAAATCAAAAGATTGCGTAAACATAAAATGATAAATTTTTTATATACTAATGAGTGAATAATATAAAACATAAAAAAACATAAGATATGAAGTGAAATCAAAATATCCCAATAATAAGACAACATGAAATATAGTTAAACTCAAAATTCTATCTTTCCCAAATCCCATTATTCTTTTCATTAACATATAATTCCAATTTCCAAAAATAAATAGCAATGACATATCACATAAGAACTCACAAGTCATCAGCACTGTCATCACTAAGGGGTTCTTCATTTGAATCATCATTATGATGAACTGCTCTCTCCCCTTCCTCCTCTCTTATAGAGTCCAATGTCGTCCATTTACTTCAAGATTTATGTAAGTTTTAATATAGCCTCATGCCAGTGAGGCGAGGCAGGCCTCAAAGCAGGCCTCAACCCAGTTGAGGCGCAAGCCTCATAAAAAAAACTCGAGGCGTTTTTTACTGGAATTGCGCAAAGGTGGGCCTCAAGGCGAGCCTCATATTGCGCAATTTTAAACCATGGTCCCATCTGTTTCAATATATAAGGTCTTCTAGTCATCCCTTTGCAACCACAGGGACGTGAAGGTAAAAATTTGGATTAGGATAGGTTTTTATTGCACTCATATCGGGCTATTTGCTAAATAGAAAACAAAACATGAGTATACAAATATGATGATGACAAGTTTGTCCAATTAATCTAGTTCACAAAAATAAAGCAGCCTTAATCCAATTAGTATTGAGTTCTTTATCGAAGATATTGGTTCAATTACAACCCTATGCGTGTCCTCTCCCCATCAATTGATGATCTTGAGACTTCTTGTTCTGCAGGTGATTCAAAATCTGTTTATGTTGGAAACCTTCCATCAAGTATTTCAGCATCTGACCTTGAGCAAGAGTTCAGTAACTTTGGTAGAATAAAGCCTGATGGTGTTACTATCAGGAGTCGCAAGGTAATTTGACAAAGTTTGGTCCTAAATGCATCAATAATCTAGTTTTATGAATCGCTAATTTACTTTTGCACTTTTTTTATGTAGGAGGCTGGTTTTTTCTATGCATTTATCGAATTTGAAGATGCTTTTGGCGTTCAGAATGCCTTGAAGGTTTATTTCGTTGCTCTTGTTTCTACTTATTAGCTTTGCATAGCAGCAGGGGGTCTTATTTAAGACAAATTCTTTTGCAATCTGATTATTCGCTTCGGCTTTAGATGTCCAAGATTCATTTTCTATCAATGACAAAGTTAATAAAAACTCATGGATTTGGTTTATAAATTGTTCTGCTTACATTGCTCAACTTTCAGAACCTGTTTTTTTTTTTTTTTTTTGCCTGATAAATCAATGAAAGCACTGAATATCCGAACAAAAGATAGCTGAGTTTATTTACAGTTCATTGCAATTACAGCTTTCAGAAAAGCTCTGTTATTTTGTAGGCTTCTCCGGTTCAGTTGCATGGGAGGTTGATTCATGTGGAGGGTAGGAGGCCTAACAGCGGCGCATCTCGAGGAGGAAGTAAGTGTTTTGAGCTTCTTTTGGGACGACTTTCTTATTGCTTTTTAAAGCAACTTCTTAGTACAAAAATTAAATTTTTTGTACTAGGAAGCTACTTTAAGAAGTAGAAAGAAAGCCATCCCAAACAAAATCTTAATTTCTTAAATTTCCTTTCCTCACTTTCTTCTAAATTCAAAGTCAACTATTTGACTTTTCTTATTTCTCAAGTAAAATACTAACTATCTTAATGCTTAGGAAGGGGCAGAGGAAGGGGAGGCCATATTTCAGAGGCCTCAAGAGGTCGGTTTGGTGGCCGGTCTTTTGACAATGACAGGCCAAAGGGCAACGGTTATCTCCAGCGAGCGCCACGCCATGATAATAGGGGAATACAAGAGAGATGAATGGAACGGCTTTAGCTTGACATATTTCAATAACACTATATGTTGTACTTTCTTTCACTTCACTGTTACATCTTCCTACGCCAAGTTCTGGGTGGGCTGTGTAAGTTTTGTTTTCTCTTCAGTAGTGTTGTAGGCATCCTCATCATCATATTATTGAAATTATCCTAATTATTTATGCTTGTTATTTGCGTGTTCTTCATAACCTTAAACAATATTGGGAGTTTATAAAGATCCAATGCTCTATGTTTTTTTTTTTTTGTCAACTTTTTAATTGTGTGGGGCTCTTTTTCAAAGTTATAGATGAATGAATGTAAATAAAATTTAATGAAGGTTAAAATGTATATAAAATCACTGATTTTCCTATTGATGAATACTTGTTTCTAGCAAAGAGTTTGTTAATTGATTAATATAATATTTCCATAATTATTTGGTAGAAAATCATTTATATATTTAATAATGGTGTTGCTTGTATGCATTAGCTTTTAAGGTTTACTTTTCAGTAATATTTAAGTTCTTTGTTTGAATCTAGAGGTAAAAGTTTGAATCGGATTCGATTTGAAAATTAGGAATGAGTTTTGTTGCATATAGGATTTAAATACACAAATTTAATGTTCGGAATAGTTTTTTTATTGCCTTATAAAGTAATTTTTTAGTATAAAATATTTTAGGTCAATATATTTTTAAATTAAAAACCTGAATTATCATTTTCACCCCTTCAAAAGTCAAGTTAGTTCTCTAGCTCAAATTGTGAAGCAAGTCATGATAAATAGAAGAAATCAATGTAGGATCTATCTATCTATCTAATGTGGACATAAATGATGGTGAAATTGTAGTTGCTGGTTGGATGTGTAGTCAAATTGTAGAAGTTGATACTTGGATTATTATTAGGATGGATTGGACAATGAGCTCAAACAAGTGCTTGGCATCAAATCTCCTTGCATTCATCTTTGAACTAAAATCTCATGTGCAATGGATAATGATGTGTTTGAGTTGGTTCTAACAAATTGGGATCTTTATAGTGTGGTTGAGTTTGGTCAATGTCTAACAAATGTCACATACTATTTTTGAAAACTCACTAAACATTTATTCTATGTTGTTGAGGTGGTTTGGTTTAATACCTTAACTGTAGCACCCATTTCATGGATCAATGTACTTGAAGGTGGTTTTGTCATGCATCGTTGCGACTTCTTGTAGTGGGATACATATGGAGTAATTAAGGCAAATAAAGAGATTTTTTTTGTGGATTAATGATGTTGTTGGGATTGAAGAGATTGATTTCATTGATGATGGCAACATTTGTGAGCGATTTGAAATGATGTTCTTCTTTTCTTCGAACCCCAAAACGATTATGTGCTATGAATGGCTATAGATTTAAGGACGAGAACAATATGATCTATTAAATTTGGGAGAAACAAGATGCGAAGATGAGGTTCCCTCTCTTTATAAGGATTTATTTGTGGACATTACCATTGCTGCAATTGGAGAGCTTGAGGTCAGTGTGGTTATGAAGGACGAAGTTGGTCTTAGTGTGAGAGGTGACGATTGATGGAGATGATATCGTTTTTATGAGATCTTTCCATTTGAATAGATCATTGATGGAGACTTAAATGGGCATTGAAGGATGATGGGTGGAGATCATTGATCGTTGTGTATATTGACTTCTAGAATTTGCCCATGTGAAGGCATTTTACTAGATAACGTGCTTTTTTAGCCTTTATAATTTTGTAAATGAGAATGTCAATCGATTGCTTTCCACTGCATTATAGAAGTGCGAGAGTTAAGAGATGTTTTCCTTATTGTAGAAATAACAAAAAATTTGTTAGTAGATCTATATAAGATCTTGAAGTGGTAGAGGGGAATCAGGAATAACACCAATTAAATGATTGGGAGCATAAGTGAGGTGCTTGTTCTTGAAGGATCTACAAATATGGAATTGTGTCATGAATAATAATGTAATTATGCTCAGATTGCTAATAAATGACGACAATCACAATGTTAGGAATCATGATTTAGAGATAGTGATGATATATATTGTGATTCATCAATTGATAAGGCACGATGCACATGATCTAGTTGAGAAGTTTTGAAGGAGCCATGTTGACCAAACAAGCACTTGATAACAAGGTTTAAAGAGAGACCCTTAATATGAACTGTTGCTTGGCACATCGAAATAAAATGAATAGGAGATGAATGACAGATTTTGAGATGCTAACAATCATACAAATAATGAAATAACAATGGAGGATTACTTCAATTTATTTTTTGATGTCTAATACTCCTAAATGGAGAGCATATATAGGCTTTTAAGGACTCAAGAGCAATAATTGATAAAACCTCTTCTAGAAGCTCGCACATAGTTTTTGCTTAGTGGACAAATGATTGCCTTACAAAATCTAAGAATTAATAAAATAAATAATTATGCTTTTCTTGTTTTTTTGCTAACCCTTATTATACCATCAACCGTAGTCCTCACCTATAATAAGAGGTAAGGATTGAATGTGGGCACATCTTGTTATATGATCTTATTATGTACTTTTCTAGTCATCTATCCTAAAAAAATTTTCAGTCTTCTCTGAAAAATCTTATAATTCTCGATGAAACAAAGATTATCTTTGATCGATATTCTTTCTCCTTTTCCTATAACTTTTTAAAACTCGGTCCAAACTTATAGTAAGATCTCAATTTGACTACATAGTTAATATTGAATCCAATATCCTCAAATATATGACTAATGTGAATGATGCCAATGATCATGAATGGAGTTTCAAATGTAAATATGAACTGTCCCTTAATGAACCCGAAACCAATAATAACTCATCTATAACATGTGAACAAGGCATGTAACATGTTATATGATGATTATTAACCCATTTTTAGTTATCGTATTCATTAGCATCAACACAAAATATTTTACAGGAGTTATGATAACTTTATATTCATGTAGATTAGTTTGAGTTGATTCCAAAAATTGATGGGCTTCCGTTTGGCATTCCTAACTCCTATTAGTTTTCTTAACTCCTGTTGGTTTTCCTTTTTTAAGTAGTGAAATATCATATTGTTGTTATCTCTTAATCGATCATGATGCAATCCTAAGCATGAGATCATCTCTATTTATTAATTATTACATGCAATAATCATTGGAGGTTATCACTTAATCGATCATGATTTAGGGCTGATTCACATCTAACCCCTTGGCAGGTTTAATAATTTTTTTTACTCATCTTTCCTATCAAAAGAGAGGGATATGATGGGATGTTGGGAGGTACAGTTGTGAAACCCTCCTTTATTTTATGCATAATAGGATAACTAGTATCTAATGTTCTATTAATTATAAATTATATATAATAAAATCATAAATATGAGATTATCTCTATATAATTATCATTAGACATCATATCCCTTTCTAGCCATCATAATTGCAACACTCGTTCCTTACCACCAAAAGCGAGGGATGTGATAAAATGTTGCTGGGAGATACAATTGTTGGACCCTCATTTGTCGTGTGTATAATATGACAACTAACATCTAATATTGTGTTATTGTTGAATCATGTATTATACAATCCTAAACATGAGATAATATCTATATCATTATCATTAAGTGACCTATAGCTTCGAATCTCTTTACCATAATTTCCCTACTTTTTCTTTATTAAAGAGAAATCGAGGGATGTGATGGGTTGTTGTTGGGAGGTACAACTATGGGACCCTTCTTTATCTTGTGTATGATGTTTTGTTATAAGTGGTGGGCTAAAATTCATGTGCATTTGCCTCCTATTATAACTTGTTGCTTCATACCATCTATCTCATCTACACAAACTTTTAAATGATATAGATAGAACATATCTAAACAACTCATTTAAATTAGCTAGTAATAGTAATAATAGTAGAAGTGAGCACTACTAGGAGATTATGGAGATCTATTAGACGTGAGGGTAGTAGTAGGTATTGCATGGATCCACCGTCGTAAGAGGTGCATACAAGCATTCCTCACTTTTAGGGGTCACATTGAGATGCACATCCAAATATGATATTTAACTAATATTTTATTATCAAGTTGAAACATACAACTAATTTTTCACCAGGGTACAATATTAGAGGTTGCAAACAACCTACTTATGTAGAGATAGGGGCTCATCGAGTGTCAACAATTCATCCAAACACTTTAGAACATAGGCGTTGCAAGTCTCTAGCATCTATGATTTATTTGATTGGATCATTATCTATATACTACCTTGGTGGAATGCTGATCATCACAAATACTTGCTCGTAGGAGAGATGGTAGTCACTCTTTAGAACATTGGTATTATGGTGTATGAGTAGTGGAGAAGCACTAATTGGCCAAACATTGTTGACACTAGTCTATGATGGGCTTGTTATGATGAGCTCCTCGGCTCACACCCAATTCTTAAATTTGTTTATTATGACCCAAGTAATCTTAACATTATGTCTAAGTGTAATATGGACCAGGCTCGTCCCAAACTTGTATGCATTTGGGCTAATTGAGATAGTTTCACTAAAGAATCTTAAATGATCATCTTAGACAGAATAAATTCATGCTTTTGTACATATATTATATTTATTATAGGATATTTTCAAATGCATTGTACTTCATGCTTTGAAATATATTTGCAATATCTATCTTTGTAAGAGAATTTATGAATATTTTTTGTCTCACTCATTTGGTGTTGTATTCTTTTTCTATATATTTAGGGAGCATAAAAATGCCACAAAATTGACTAGAGTTAACATGACAGGTCTTGACATCATTTTTGTATGAGTTCACTAGGACCAATCTATATCCTAGGATCTATCTACCCTAGGATCTATCCAGACCCTAGATCTATTCAGAACCTAGGATCAACCTAGATCTTAGATCAATCCAGATCCAAATCAAGTCCAGACTTCAAACATATCAAGACTTTAAACCTATACATATCTCAATTCTAGTTTAAACCTTAATCATGCCTTGATCTAGCTTCAATCATATCCAATTATTTATAATCATTCAAATAATTGCAAATGATTTATATAATTTAATTTCAATTATTCAAACCTAAAATCCAGATCAAATCCAAAAATTTAGTACAAAATCCAAGTTCAAAGGCCTAATCCTAAAAAGCCTTTTTTTAGTGAATTTTCAAACATTTCAAACTGTAGTCAATGACCCTTAAATCATGATTTATCAATTGCATATTGATTAGAAATGTCTTTAAGGTCTACCCTCTAAATTTAAACTCATTCCAAGACCTCTAG